TTCCTGAGCCGGAGGGAAAAGGTTAATTGCCTGGGGAGAACCATTTATCTGATCCACAGACAGTCCAGAGGATTGAGGGAGGGAGAGAATCAGTCAGAATGAGAAGATGAGCTAATTTTTCACAGGTGTTTTTCTTGATCTGTTTATTACAGCCAATGATAACAGTGAGGTTGTGCTGAGCAGCTTGTAAAAACAACAGAAAAATGGTTTCCCTTCTCTCTACCCAGCCCTGGAGCAGATGCAGCTGAGAAAGTCTCAAGTGAAGTAGCTTTGCTAAAGCTGTGCTGGTATGAGCAGTGTGGAAGAATGCATTTTTAACCAGGGTGCAGTTCTCCCTGTGAGATCCCTTAATTTGCCTTTTTTAGAGATGTGGGAACCTCAAAGGGTTGGAAGTAAATCTGCACCTCCTTTGGGGAGACTGCAACAGAGAGAATAATTCATTGGAGGTTTGTTTGTGTGCTGTTATTGAGGAACCATTGGGACCCTAATCCCAGGAAAGCATGGGCTGGTCTATAATTGCTTTCTAGTCTTGGAAGCACATGGGTGTTCAGTTGTGGGGTTTTTTTCAAGAATGTGGTAGGCATCAAGTAGATAACCCAATGGAGTAAGAATATATTTGACTAATTAGACATTAGTCAGTAAGAATAAGGTGGGGAATTGCTCTGAATATCTGAATTACACCTGTGAGGCAGAGTTGTTGCTGTGTTCTCACAGATTAAACTCTTTTGGGGAGACACTTTCCTTTCACAGGGGTTGGGTAACACTGCTAATTTTAAGGCAAGAATTAATGGTTGGTAAATAGCAATAAACCCAAGGACTGCAGTCAGGATCAGTGAGCTAATGCTGTTTTAGTAATTAAGTGAACGATCTGAAATGTTCCAGAATGTGAAAGTATTATCTAAATATGCTCACAAAAGGCTTCCTTGGGTTTGAGGAAGAAACTTTTCTGGGGATTCTATCCCAGAAAGGAAAAAAATTGCCATTATCTTTTCAGTTCTGGAGGCTTTAGGAATTACTTAACTACTGAATATTTATTTGGATCAGAACTGGTAAGTTTCATTCTGTGCCCTTCAAATCAGACTCCATCCCTTTTGGCTTACCCCTAGCAAGCTAATCTCCATTCCCCTTTTTATTCTAATTGGTGTGTCTGATGTGAGAGCACTCTCCTTCTGTGAGACTTTGTTGCTGTTATGCTTTGCCTTTCTGTAAGTCTTGCTCCAGTGTTGCTGATTTAAAGGACCATCTTACATTAATGTGGTGAAGCTCAGTTCTTATACTCATCTCTTAGCTTTATTAATCTCTTCTTATTTAAAGTTCCAGGAGCAGCTAAAAGCTTAGACCAGAGCAGCTCTCTGCTGCATTATGCCTGACACATAAGTCTATTGGGCTGGCACTACTTACTCTGTTTACAGTCTAAATAGGTAAAACCAAAACTGAGAAGTAAAGCAGATACCCTGTCATTACAAGGCTTGACCAAGGTCACAGAGCAGAGCTGTTTGCAGAGAGCCCTGACTCTCTAGTGACTGTCCTCGGCAAACATACAGAAGCTGTGGAACTACCTTCTGTGCTGCTGCTTGCTAACACTGAAGTGCCAAAGCCTATGTGAACACTCCCCTGATTATCCTCTGGATATATAACAGTAACTTTCTCAAGTTACACAGAGAAGATGGTGCATGATTATTCGTCAGTAGGTTTAGAGGGATATCTATGTATATGAGAAGTAGATAGTGGAACAGTCGTGACTCCACTGAGAATGCATACATCTTGCAGGAGAGGCACCAGGGAATACTGGTTTTGGTCTCAAATCTTCTGCAGGACTTGTTTGGTAAGATTTGCTTTTCTCGCTCAACAAAATCCCAAAACAGTTCTCTGGTTTAATACAGGTATTCTGTTTCTGTAGAAGATGGGAAGGAAGCCTATTGGCTTGGAGGTGAAGGGAAGCTCTGCTCATTTGTGGGAGGGACAAAAGTCAGCACCGCAATGTTACTTTTTCCTGCAGCTCTGGTTGGAAGGTAGGGCTACCGCTACACCTGTGCGGAGCAGGAAGTACTGCTCTGTGACACAGTTACATTATGGTCATGCCCTCTTGTTTTCACTGATACTAACCCCCAGCAACAGACATCCTTTGCTTTCCCTTAGCTTTTCTCAATTGTGAGTTGTTTTTTTCCAGTGAACTTTTAAAGGCCAACTACACTAGGAGGAGCTCTTCCTCCATGTCATCTCTTCTATCTCTGTTCAGCTGGTTATCCAGTAAAGCTCCGAGTTGCTTTTGTATGGGCTGCTTCCTCGTTGTCCAGGTTCTTAAGCCCTCTGTACTTCTTTGAGCATGTAAGCTCCCTCACTTCAGGGTATGAAGGAAACACTAATTCCACTGAGCCTTTTTGATACTAGGGTTGTTGGGCATTTCATGATAGTCAGCTCCTTGCTACATTTGGAAAAGCAGCTGAAGTGTTCTGTATTTCACAGCTTCGGTGTAGCCTTTCTTTTCCAGTACAGAATAAACTACAGCCCTGTGGTTGTTAAAGCACGGGCCTTCAATAAACATCCCAGGTAATACTGGTCCATTTTTTCCTTCAGTTAGGTTAATTTCTGGAACTGTAAAGATTATGCAGACAACATACATACAGTACTCAGTGCTTTCTAGGATAAGGTAGAGTGACTTGGAAAACTCATCCTGCAGATATTAGTAAAGTCGTGTCAGCCGTGTTTGTTGACTGATGCTGTCACATTCACACTACAAGGTGATCACTTCTTCAGTCAGCATTTCTCCCACACCTGACAGCAGACCTGATGTCTGTAAGCCCTCAACTCGACGACAAGAATCAGCATTCCAATACTCTTTACTATAAATGAAGGTATGCATAGCACTCTCCATGCCGAAGGCTTTCCAGTTCGGTAGGTGCTTTATGTGCTTTACGTGTAGAACTTTCTGGGTCACAGCGCCATCACAGGCCGCGGAGGTGGGGAGGCGGAGCGCGCCCTCCCGCTCCCGGGCGGCATCGCTCCCGGCATGCACTGCACGCCACCGGCACTCGTGGGTGCGGCGGGATTGGCTGGAAGAGCAGCCAATCGCGAGTGAGAGCCTTGCCCAGGGCCCCGCCCCCCTCGCGCAGCCGCCGGGAACGTTTGAAAGGTCTGAGGTACGCGGCCCTCCTCCCGGCTCGGCACCGCCCCGCCCCGAGCCTGCCCCTGCCTCTGCCCCTGCGGCGGGAGCGGGACTCCAGGTGCCTGCGGCGCTGCCGGGGTCAGGCGCGGGTACCGCAGCGATGGGGCACGCGAGCGCCTGAGCCCCCTGGGCTGCGCGGTGGGAGGGTGTCCGCCGGTGCTCTCCTTCAGGGCGTGGGGCTGTAAGTGTTTTTTCTCCTTCCAGGCGAAGTGCTAATGCCAAGCTCCTCTGCAGCACTTGGTGTAAGTCCATGCCGGTATATGTGCATTTTACCCCCTCATGGGTGTCCTTGTCTACTCGCCGGTCCCGGGGCCGCCGAAGGTGCGGGCAGTGCTCCTGGGGGACCACTGTGATCGCCTCAGTCAGTTGACAGAGGTTTGTGGTGTATGTGTAAAGCCAGGAATCACCATCATGTGCGAGGTAGCGTGCAGGTTGTGTAGTTGGTAATGAAGCTGGCAACTCAAAGGGCACGGAACTCTCCAAACTTTGATTTTCCTGCTGTCTAAAGAAGGTTTTGTAGAGGGCCCAATGAAGTTTCCATCTTGCGAAGATGTGAGGCCTTTGCATCTGCAGAAGTAGCGATTTGGCATTATGTAAAGGCCTTTTTATTTTCCTTAAGCTTAGGGCTAATTAAATACCAGGAATATTGTCTAAATAATACGTGTGAAACAGTCTTATATGCTTGAATATACATGTAGGTTAGGAAAGCTTGTGCTCTAGGTCGTACTGGGCTGAATACTGTCCTGTGGAGTTTTGTTCAGTAGTGTGTAATTCATAAGAAAATACAGGGACCAATGCAAATGGCTGAGAGCTAAGGGGAGAAGGATTCCTAGTGGCAGTGCAATCTTACCTGCTATGTAAAACAGCCTTAAGGCTCATCTGAAATAATCAGGTATGCTTTAAGCAGGACTCTCAATAAATACAATTTAACACCCTGGTGGTGTTCAAGGCCAGGTTGGACAGAGCCTTGGGTGACACAGTCTAGTGTGAGGTGTCCCTGCCCATGGCAGGGGGATTGGAACTAGATGATTTTAAGGTCCTTTCCAACCCAAACCATTCTATGGTTCTGTGATTTTGAGTGAGTGAATATTCCACAGTTGATGCTGCCTTGGATTAATGGTACTTTTGTTCAATTTTAAAATAATATTTACATTGTAGTTCTCATTGTTATATGCTTAGCTTTGGCCTCTGATTTCTTCTACACTGTTGGCTAAAATAAAGAGCTCCTTGTTAACTGTGTTTGTTTCATAAATTGTCACATAGAATGATATGTGTTTGACTAGTTTGACCATGTTGAGTAATGCTGAAGTATTTTTCCAGCCCTTCAGTCTTTCTGCTGTCTCCTTTCCAGGTTCTTCCTGTTCTTTCAACATCTGTCGCTAATCCTGGGTCACCAGAACAGTGTTGTGTTCTAGGAGTATATGTTATAGGGCTAAGTACTTACTATGATTATTGTTTGTGTTTAGGCATCCAAAGAGAACCTTATTTCTTTCCAGTGCAGTATAGCATGAGGAGTTCTTGTTCAGTTTACCACCGAGTGAATTCCAGCTTTCTTATGTCCCAAAATCACCTGTCCTGTAAACATTGCTGACTCTACTGGCATCATCTCACACATGGTCAAATATGAGGGGATATAATTTAACATAACTGCTTTCAGAGTGATAATATAATGTAACATAGACTTACGTGTATCACAGTCGTTTTTATATGAGCACGTATATACAGACACACATGCAAGTGTGCCAGCTTTCCTGTTCTTTAGCAGGAGTGGGTGAAATTGGCCACATATCATACTCTAAGCATCTTTCAAAGTTTTGGTTTGTTTGCCTTGTAGACTGGTAATCATGGCTGCTAAGAAACTCAGAAGAGCGAGGTTGTCTCAGGAGCTGTGTGAAAGGCTGAGTCGCCATCAGATCACTACCTGTCAGGTAAAAGGGTTATTTTATACTTGTGGGGCAGAGGTTTCGTGGGAGGTTGGTTATTTGTTTGTCCAGGTTTGGTTTTTATTTCTGTGTTTTCATGCATATACTGTTTACTTCTTTGAGGTTTAATTTACAGGGAGCTTTACTTTCTATAAAATAGGGGCATTGCACACTCCATCTGGCTTGCTGCCTTGTAAAAATACAGATTTAAAGTGATAGATGCTCAACTAAAACATTTAAGCTTCTATGTACTTACTACCTTCACTTCTAAAGAGCCCAAAGTTGCTTTATTTTAGCAGAGGTGTGCAGCTACTACTTGTGTTGGGTAAGACACTTATTTGTGAACACTTCACAAAACACATGTATACTGTATAACTAGTGTGTGAACATGCTGTGAAGTTACACTGTTAGTTATGGGTTGATTCAGCAGTACGTTCTGAAGTTGCTGTTACAAATGTGCTCACCTAAAGAGAGCCAAGAGGCCATATATATTTCAATAATACGCATCACAGATGCAGGATCTAGGCCTAGGACTGCGATCTAGAAGACATGCTGTATTTTGAATGTTATTTTTAGGTAGATAGAGACTTCTGTGGGCAAAAAGGTGCTATTGCAATTTTATTACACAGCTCTTGAATGTCTGGTCCTTTGACTCCATGTTCTTTAAAATATAAATATAATTTCTTTTAACATACTGATACCAGAGAAAGTTAGGAGAAGTATAGCATAGTAGTGTATGACATACCACAGTATACATTCCATGGGTTTACCATCTAGTTGTGTATATTGCATCAGTTTAGTCCTCAGTCTTGATTTCTAGGTTGTAATCTCTGATCTGTCATTTTTCAGGACTTTTTATGTCGTTCCTTCTTGGAGCTAATGAAAGTGACGGGACAGAGCTACTATGGTGTGCAGAAGCTTCTTTGTAAAGTCAGCCGAGCTTGTGCTCCCAAAATGCAGACAGTAAGTGTGTGCGTGTTGATTGCATCTGGTTTTGATGCAATTTCTGGGAAAAAGCTGAACAGTGTCACTCATCTTTTTACATGGAAGGTTTGCAATGTCTCAGTTTAATTGCACAATAAAATAATACCTCTATTTTTGAATGTAGATCTCTGAGGCACTTTAGTTTGATGCAGTGACTTTTATTAGGCTTTATATCCTCAAGAGATTGCTCAGGCTTGCAGAATCAGTTCTGAGTGCAATAGGGAAATATGCCATTCTGTCTTGCAATCCAGCATCTAAAAATTGCTTCTGGTTTGGACCCTGCAAAAAAAAAGCCAAAACCAAAACACAAAAGCATTGTTTAAAAACAAGCAGAGAATAAGAACGTCAGTATAAATTGCTTTTAGACATAAAATGTGTGTCAAGAAGTGTAATTATACTGAAGGTAACTTGAGGATTTTTTCTATCCATGTAAGTGAGCTGTAGTGTGGTTTTAGGCTACAGGTAGCCTAACTGGGCCAAGTGCAAGAAGGAAATGCATGTTAGGTGCAATGTAGGGGCAGGATTTTGTTTTCTTTTGAATTTGAGTGAAAAGATGTCAGAAATGGGGTCTTTTTAGAATAGAGAGTACATGGACAGTTCTGGCCTGTGTCAATACAGCCCGTTTGTTATTTCTTAAAAAATAAAAAAGCCCTGTCAAAGTTTATGATGTGTATTTGGCCTAGGAACTTTGTAAAACTTTAAATTCACAAGCATGCTGCGTTAAAGTTAGTGATATGCAGAATTAATATGACTTGTACTGAGTGGATTAAAAGTGAGCTAATTACACATCAGTATTCAATCAAATTTCTTTGCCAAGAAGCTGGACATATACTGAAGCTTGTCAGACAGCAGTTGTCAAGAACTGTTAATACAGAGTCAGCATGTAGAATCATAGAATCAACTAGGTTAGAAAAGACTGTTAAGATCATCAAGTCCAGCCATTACTTCAGGACTGCTAAGACCACCACAAAGCTGTATCTCTGAGGGCCTTATCTGCACAGTTTCTGAACACTTCCAGCTACAACCAGCTATGTACATGCATAAAATAAGGAACTGTAGTTCCAGAACAGAGGATGTTGGCTATTTTTAAGGTATGTGGATTGAATCTCTGCAAACACAGGATTTCAAATGGACTTCAAGTGAGAGTGACTGATATAACATCATGACTGATACAGCAAGAATGCTTGACAATGCCTTTGAGTAAAAAAGTAAATAGATAATAGGAGTTATAAATAAGGGAAAAATACTGTCGAGATACAGTATGGGAAGCACCAAGCAAAATTTAAGAGTATGACAAGATCTGAAATAGAACTCTAATTTCTGGAAAACTTGTCTCACAATATAAAGTACAGAGTGAAGCTTACAGAGCTTCCAAGAGAAGTTAATGAAGGGGTGACTTGATCACATGATATGCTGAGTAGAAAAAGGTAATTATATTAGATGTCTCTAGAGTCCAGCTGAACAGGATCTGGTGACTGGAAGATAAATTAAAAAATAAGTCCCTGAAATGAGATGTAATGACAAAATCCTTAGAAACTGACATAAGTTACCATTTGAAAAGATCATCTGAGGATGTGGTAATTTTTCATTCACTTGGACTCCTGATTTAACTGTTGAATTTTACTTTATTTTTTTACTGAAAGTCTGATTCAACCCTCATTTTCTGTGTTAAATATGGAAATCGGAGTTTGTTAGTCAGGAAATGTAGACTAGAATATTGTTTCCATGTTCTGTGGGTTTGGTTTTTTTCCCAGTCTATGGGGTTTAAGTCCTGTCAGAGGTTGAACAAAAAAATTATAGAACTATGTTGCAAATACTTCTTAATTAGTACAGTATTCACTCTTAAAGTGAACCTGAACATAAACTCTGATCCTTTTGAGTGAGGTAGAATTCATTGTTTTTTTGCATTGGCCTGTTCTGTGTCTTGAAAACTATTTTTCAAGTTTATTTCTCCTCAGTAGAACTGAAGAACAGAGAAGGTCTGAATGAAGTTCAAATATTACTCTAATATGCTACCTGTCATAACATAGGGAAGCACTGTAGCATAAAAAAAGGAAGGTACAAGCTGTTGTCCCTCAGCCAGCTGGTAAAACTAGCTGGAAGCCTTTCTGATCAGCTTCAACAAAAATGCTCACTTGCTGGCCCAGCAAGTATGGACTAAACCGTATAGGATTCAATAGTGTATTTATTTACCTAGCTATCGATGAATCCTATGGAGGTGCTTCCATGGTACACTAAATTCCCAGCAGACTATCTTAAGACTGGGGTAAATCTGATGCCTGCATTTCTGTAAGGCATAGACTGTGGTCAGTCATGGCAGGCTATGGGACTACACTGTGACAGGGCTTTGAGAATCTCTGTTATTGGCACAGGAGTCTGAAACCTTCAGGAGCTCTTAACTGTAGCTACAGCAACAAGCTTTAGATCAAATCAAACTTCTGATGTTCAGGATGCTCAGTGGTTGAAGAATGTGTCAGTTTCGGCATCAGTTTTGGCATATGTCTGCAAGATGTAAGCAGCGCCTGTTTATTTTGGAAACTTCATGTTCTGGTGTTTACAGATCAGCATTTGCATTTTTTTATTTCTTCTTTTTCTGGTTTAGATTGATCCCCTGAATGAAAATAATACTTATGAACTAGAATTCTGATCTTAATCTAGTCCCAGCTATTTTCTACTCTATACCTGTCATGTCTTCTTGACCAGCCTTCCTTATAGAAGTGGAAAATTATGAATGGCTTTGGGATCACCCCAGGCTTGGTCAGAGACTTGGAATCTTTAGCAAACCTTTCTTTCAATCCAGGTAGTTTCAAATTGGTAATGAATGTTGGCCAGGAAGTTCTTGGTTTAAGGTTTCATGTAGTGTTTTGTGTTGGTCACTAGTGACATGTATAGTGTTTACTTGTTTAAAAGTTGGAGTTTTACAGGTTGAAAGCAACCCTTGTTGAATAGAAGCACAGAAATCATTTGACCTGTCATTATTAAAGGCTTATTATTTAATACCGTGATGAGGAAGACACGATAAACTTTTACATTTACTCTGTGAACTATAAGTAGGATATAAATGTGAAGGATGATGAGGTAAGGGAGGAATACAATTGAACATAGTAAGAGATTGCTCATTGGTAAGTGTTAAGTCATTCCAGGCTGATGAAAGCAAATGCAAGAAGTTTGCTATTTGGTTGGACTTGACGATCTTAAAGGTCTTTTCCAACCTGACTGTGATTCTATGGTTGTGATTGTGATTCTATGATTTCCATTAAAAAAAAAAAAAAGGAAAAAGATATTTTCTGATTTGTGTGTTTGCTTACTTTTGCCTTTTCCCCCTCCTCTTGTAGGCTTATGAAATGAAACTGAGGAAGTCTGTCAATCCCTCTTCAGCCTTTTTATCTACCACGCTGCATAGTTTGGATAAAGTCCTGCATGGTGGAGTGCCCTGTGGATCCCTCACAGAGGTAACTCATTCAATATATTTTCCTGCAGTTGTGCCTTATACCTGTCCTGTGACAACAGGTGCTTTATACACAACATACACAAAATTTTTCAAGAAGAGCTTTTTCCTTTTGTTTGGTAGAGGCTGTACTTTTTTGGTGTCTGTTCCACCCCCCCCCCCCCCCCCCCCCGGATGTCAGGTAAGTGGGAAAATGAAGGAATTAAAAAATTTGGTGATGTTATTTTCCTTTAAAAAGTAGGAAAATTTTGCAGGAAATTTGGGAGAATTGTTGGCTGGATTTTACAGTGGCAGAGTTGCAGTGGTTTTATGGTCAGAGCACAAGGTGCTGAATCAGGAGCCTGCCCTTTTAATACTGACTTATGTGGAGACAGCGTTCTCACAGGAGAATGCATAATTGGTACATAAACTCTGAATAATCCTAAAAGATACAGCAAGGCCATGAGAGGCCTAAAGAAGCTTAAGCAAGCAAGATAAGAAGAAGCTGGAATTCACTGAGTTAATGAGAACTGTGGACTGTTGGCAAGTTTTCGAGGTCAAGTTCTCACACCTGTGCTTAACCAATTATATGTTAGTCACTAAGGGTCTTCAAGACATGTATCCAATCATAATATGCCAAATCACTGTAACTGCATGTAAGAAATAGTATATAAGGAGTTAAGGCTTTGTAATAAATTTGGCAATAGCTTGATCACATTGATCGTCTCTGCGTTGTCCGTGACTTCCGCATCAACAGAATTATTCTGACTTTACCAAGTCATTAGTTTTTATGAAGGTACCATAAGCAATCAGGACAAAAGTGTGACACATATAGTCATGAGAATGACTTTACAGAGCTGTAATATATAACTAATTTAAGCAATAAATATATAACACATTCTTTGTTGAGAAAGACTGGAATTAAGGGCTCTATTATATGCACGTACATTGCAACACTGCAAACTGCATATACGTCTATAACTCTCACTCTCTGGACTTTGGATGCAATACTACTTTTTGCTTGAAATTTTATTTTAAGACCAACGGACTTCTAAGACTGGAAGAATTCATCTTCTAGTGCCTGGATTTCTCTGTGGCCTTGCAGAAAGTGATCGTAACTTGCATAGTTTCTATAATCTGGAAAGACAGGGTTTGTGTAGGTGTTCATAGGAGTCACTGAGTGTTTTGAAAGCACGAAGATGTAATATTTACCTTAGGAATTTGCTAAACTACCAGTGGAAGTGGAGAAATGTGTATATTGGAGTATCAATAAATGTGTGCCCTATTCTGATGTTATTCACTTTGCCATCCATTGTAGGTCCTTAGTAGAGACGGAATCCGTAACTCAGTGGATATTGGTTTTATGCAGTGAGAGATATTTGCCGCCCTAAAGTTTTGAACTCAGCTGTTCGCTTGAAGTGTCTTGTGTGCCTCATGCTCTGAATTTAGATAAGCTGAAACCATCTTTTGCCATGAATATATTAGCTGTCCCTACCAAGTGCTTTCCTTTGTCTACTGTGGCAAATTACCACAGTTAGAGGAGTAGAAGTGAGAAATTACAAAAATCTTACTCTGAGGAAAATATTTTTTCCACACCCTATAATCAAAACTAGGTTTGTTGTTATCTCAGAAAACACTACGGAATGTGTAGTGACTTAGAGCATATTAGTGTTTAAGCAACGCTGAGTTTAGACTATAACAGCTTCTGCTCTAGTAAACTCATAGGTAATGGGGGAATATTACTTTTTAAAGATTCTAAGTATTTCTCTTTTTATAAGATGTACAGGAAAATACACCATTCAGATGTTCATGAAAATGATTAAGAAAGCATCCATGAACTTAACATTGATCTGTCACAATTATTATTTTCATCCTATTTAGGCCTAGCTTTGTTACCAATTTACTGTAAGCAAATCAGATTGGAAGAATTTAATCTTAAGATGAGTAATACAAGTCTTTAAATTCTGGGAGAAAAGACTAGCTAAATTTCTTTTCATTGAAGAAGAGCAAGCTGTTGTTATACGTACCAGTGGGATATGTAGCATCCTGAGATAATAACTGTGCTGCTGTTGAGGATAGAGTCTTTCAGCAGGAGGTTAGGTTTTAGTGCCTAAAAATATTTTTATCAGCAAAGCAATGGCCGCACTGGGTGTAGTTTGACTCCTTTTATTTTGGATTATTGTTCATGCAGTCAGCTGATGAAATAGCACAGCATATGTTTGGAAAGAGATGGTGTTCACTTGCAGCTGGTACCTGGCTTTATGAAATTTCCATTTGGTCCACTATTTCTCAGTGGAGGCAGAGAATGGTTGGCCACGTCTTTAGGCTGCTTAAACTTCTGAGTTCTGCTTCTTTAGTTGAAATGGAGAGTCACCGCCGCACAGGTAGGAGAAAGAAGTAGAGTAGAGATTGCCTTTTTTGTGATGTGCTGATTTGTCCTTGAGCCTGTGAATGGCTCATGAGTGGTGCCCAAAACAAGGATGTCACTCTTCTGTAGGTTAACCCAATCTGTTCTGCCTTCCTTCTTGTGGCTTGGCAGTTTTGACTAAGATGGCCAGAGTGTAGAAGTTTGCATTAAAGGATCCTGGAATATTTTTTCCCTAATTAAAAAAAAGTGGATGTGATCCTTTTGAGTCAGAAGAGCCATCCAGTTAACTTACAAGGCTGCTGAATGTCATGAATATTAATCCTAAGCACAGCTATCACTCGGCTAGCAGTGCAGTCTCTGTCTGACCTGTTCTTGCTTGAAGACCAGGTAGAATGGCTCTGGAGCACAGAGAGACTTAAGCTTGCCAGTTGCCATGTACATGGCATTGCTCCAAGGGCCATCCAGGAAAAGAAGTGGTTGACATGCTGGGAGTTTTACTGGAGTTCAGCTAACCTTTGAGTTCTAGGTTTTGGTTTGATGTAGTTTTATTTATTTATTTATTTATTTATTGTTTTATTTGAAAGCAAGTTCTGCAAGCAGTTGACCTCAAAACATTGATGTTCGATGTAATTTTCCTGAGATGGCATAAAATACCGCTCTTTAAGAAGTAAATGCAAATGCTAAGTTTTCCGGAGCTCTGTAATTTGTAATACCTCTCAGTGTGGTTGATTATCACAATACTCAATTTTTTTCCTCAGTGTTTCCTTAAAACATATAAATGTTTTAAAAAATGTTTGAGATATAAAAAAATCTGAGAAAATGTTACTAACTTCTGTTTTAATAACGGTCATAAGCTGTATGTATCAATGTATTTAAAAGTAGTTGGGGAAGTGAATATATTCAAAGATAGGCTGAACTTTTATCTAACTGTAAGTGAAAAGCACTGCAACAGGAAAGGTGTTCCATTGGAATTTTTTTTCTGACACCCCCCCAAAAAAAAAGAACCAGACCAAACCCAAACTTTTTTTTGTTTTGTTTGTTTGTTTTTGTATTCTAACATATTTTGGTTAGAAATAGAGACCTGCCTAACGCAGTTACCTTCACTAGGTGATCTCACAACGTGTCTGAGATGTTGAAGTCTGTACAAGACATCTGGTGGATGAGCCTAGAACTGCAGGCTCTGCATCCTACCGGTAGCTTGGTCTTGGTTGCACCCTCATACCAGTTTGACAATATTGATGCATAATAACTGTTTAATTAGAAATGTTATAGGGAGAACTAGGTAGGCTCCGGAAATCAGATGACTAATTTAAGATATTAAAGATGTCTTTAAAAAAAAAAGTTTGTTGCTTTTATTTAGCAGCCTTTTAGGTGCTAAATGTGTGAAGTAATCAGGGCATGTGTTGTGTTTCTCAGCAAAAGGCAGAGAACAATTAACACTGCAGAAACTGAGTTTCTCATTTAAAGCCTGGTTATGGAGATACTTAAAGCATAGTTGCAAGCGTCATGAGTTCTGAAGTAGCTGGCAGCGCTACAAGTGTTCTTTAGTATGACTGCTGGATGAAATTTTAGTAGAAAGCTGACAAGTGTCTGCTGCTGCTGCTGTGATGCTGTACTGCAGCTTGTGAAAACTTCCAGGTTGCATTCTTTTCGGATTCGATTGGTTTTTGGAACTTCATAATTTAATTTGCTCTTTTGCAATTTACTGGAGCATAGCTGACCAGCAGATTACCCTTTTTTGTTATTAGACAGGTATTCTGAAAGAAGTTGTTTTCAAAAATATGTTGCATGCAGCAGTCACTTCCTGACTGGTGTGGCTAAATCATTGTCTTCCTGTTACTTTACCCAGCAGTGAGGGTGGTTGGAAACTTGGAATTTGAGTACATGAGCCACGGGGTTAAGACTTGGGGGGGTAACTTCTACAGCCAAAGCCGCTTGCTTTTTGAGTGCCAGAGGGATTTGATTTCTATTACACTGTCTCAGACCATTTTTTTTCCCAAACCACTATTAGGTTTTGAGTTGGAAATTAAATCATAGCTGAAATTTTGTGGTCAGCTGTCAGCTTTTGGCCAACTCCTCTGAGGAAAAATTAAAGTAAGAATATTGAAGAGTTTAATCCCCTGGTAGCTGAAGAAAAATTAGCTCCTTGTGATTTTGTCCAAACCCTACAGATGTGCCAGAGAAAATAATATATAGCTTAATGAAAAATAAAAGTATATTTTATTAGCAGAGATAAATGAAAAATGGTTGCAGTCTTCACATTTCTATCTGGGTGGACTTGATTTTTTTTCTTTTTTTTTTTTTTTTCTCTTCCAGAGCAAATTTAGAATAAAACAAACTAAGCAGACTTTTTACAGACATTCAGTTTAAATTATGGTAGAAGAATTCCAGCTTGTTATTTTTAAATGAAGATTGTAGTGTTCAGAACACTTGCTGAACCAGCATTAACTACAATTAAATATGGTAGTTCTCTAACATTGTTTACTGTAGATTATTTAAAAACCTCTTTTGATGCCCTTTAAAGGAATGCTGTTGAAAGATGAAGTATTGTCTTTGGGAATACAAATTTTCTCTCACTTCATTGGCTTGTTTCCTTATTCTACTTCATACTGTAAAATTCCCTGTCTTTCTCTGATAGGATGCTTGTATTCTTGGACATTTTTACAGCATCTCTTCTGAATTAGCTCCTGCATTAGTCACTGAAATAAATATTTCCAATGCATCTCTCAGGCAAGGCTGAAACTACAAATGTTTTATGAGGTCTCTGCACAGTTGTCTGAACATTTTAATTTAACAACTGGATTGATGCCCTCCCCTCGTTCATTTCAAATCTTCTTTTTAACTAGAAACAGCTGGTAAGATTGCTTGGCTATCACAGGCTAAGGGATATGTTTTGCCTCTGCAATTTTTATATATGCTCTGGGTTAATATTAAAATGTGGCTGCTATTGTTGATATATTTTGTAATCTAAGTACCCTAGATGGAGGGGAGATAATTGCAGAAATTATTATTGGCTGATTCCGGTTCTGTAATTTGTTAAATGCAGTGTGTGCTTCTAAACAAAATCATCTAATGCTTCTCTTGCATTAAGGTTTGGAGTAGGTTGACTGATATAGCTTGGTTTTCAGACCTTGTTTAAAGACAAAAGTGATTAAAGATATTTTAACCAACTGTTAACAGTCGCTAATGTGTAACTGTAGCTAATGCAGTCCTTCACTGTTTCCTTGTAAAGTTTCTGTGCTCCAAGTCATGCTGCTGCTGCTTAAAACAAAACTATAAGGATACTGTAGTATCTTGTGGTGAAAGGGTGTTTGTACTTAAACTGTTGTGCATTTAGGATCAAAAATCAGTTTGATTTTGAGTGTCTGTTGAAAGGTTTCTTTTTTAATTTAAAAGAACAGCTCTGTTTTTAAGCCTTTGCTTTGGCAGTGCTGTTTTGAGAAGGTACGCTATGTTTTGCAGTTTAACCTCCTCTGTGTGGCTTACTTTTATAGCACATTATTATTTAGTCCCTACTAGAGTCAGAATGAACTCACTACTCTTTGGTTTTAAAGTTGCTTCAAGTTTACATTTCCTGATTTTTCAGCCCTCTTAGTATTTAAGATATCATTGTCTCCCTTCCCAGAAGCAGTGACAATGTGATACGGTATTTAAAGACCCACTGTAGTAGTGATGAACATGTGATTATCTGAACACAGAGCTCAGCATTCATTTACAATCTCTGCAAGATCTACAGTGGATGAAGAACAGCATGCTGCGATCCCTAGTAGAAAAATCTTGCTCTCTGAAACTGTGGCTCTCTTCAAACAATGTGTTCTTTTGATCCTTGTGGCTTTTCTCTTGGATAATACTGGAACCATTTCACACAAGTTGAGTGTGCTGTATTTGCACGTGCAAATCTTAACGTAAGATTTCAGTCAGCGCAGGTGGAATCTTAAAATTGGCAAGCTGGTCTGAACCTTAAATGGTGTTCATTCTTGAAATATGGTAATAGGGAGCTAATGCCAATGACAAAGCACATGCTACATAGCAGAGTGTAGTCTCTGGGCCGATAAAGTTTGTCTTATGTATAAATGAGGTCCATACTGAACATTCAGTCTTTACAAGGTAAGTAATGACACTTGTGATTTCCAAGGGAGACCTGGTTGTAACCAAGGTAATGATGACTCCTAAGCAGTCATTTACAGCTGTGAACTCATTAGCTCTGGACTTTTTCAGCTCTAAAGGCCATTGATGTCATGTGAATGTCAACTGTGACTATTCCAATTCTGCTTTATTTTAGAAGGTAACACAGAGAAGGAGATGGAAAAGAATTAGCTGTGGCTCTGGCGAATATCCTGTAAGAGGAGGATGGGAATAGGGAGCCTCAAATATGAAAGTTACATAATAAAGGATGTCAGAGAAATGAACACAAACATAATGTTGTGTCTCAAGAACTATTATTCTTCAGTGATGAGTTTGACTGCAAGGCACAGGTCCGAGAGTAACTGCAATTTGCTCTTTGTGGGCTGCATTCTCTTTGTGGCTGTGCCCTCCTTTGGTAGCTGGTAGAGCAAACTTTGAGGTGTTCTGGCTGATGGGTCTTACCTAAAAGTAGAATTCAAAATGAATGTGATATCTCTTGTTTATGTTACTGATCTTTTCTTCTTCCAGATAACTGGCCCACCAGGTTGTGGCAAAACTCAGTTTTGTATTATGGCATGTGTTCTGGCTACACTGCCTGTATGCATGGGAGGACTGGATGGGGCTGTTATATACATTGACACAGAGTCTGCATTCAGTGCTGAGAGGTAAGGTGCAAAATTCTGAAACAACACGCTTCCAACTTCTTTGGCATCTTTTCTCTCGGAGCCTTCGGTTATTTTCTGAGCAATAGTTAAGCATTTTTTAAGTAAATACAGATGGTAATTATTAACCATTCATCTAATGTGTGCAGTTATTCTGTAGGTGACAAAAATAATTTACTAAAATGGTTTGCTCAACTTCCTAATTTGTATGATTAATAATAATTAGGAGGCAGATTCCACTTGTGGAATTACGAGGTGCTTGGCACACTCTCTAATTTAGAAATGATCTTAACAGCCCTGTACCTGAAATCTTTCTTTGCAGTTTAGTTTGTGGAGTTACCAGGAAGGTTTTGAGGATGTAAAGGCCCAACGCTTTGAATACAAAGGAAATGGAGGTTTTTGTCTGAACAGTAGGACTGACATATCCAGTTTTTCTTCAGATTTCTATCCTGTTTGTGCTGAGTGGGGCCCCCTGCCCTTCTGCACTTCTGATTTCCTTCTGCATTATCCTCTCCCCTACATCCTTAGTGGTCATGCAGTACTATATTCCCATCCCTCTATAACATCTTTCATTCTTCTAGTATCTCCTGCTTTTCCCGTGGGACTAAAACTGCTCATGTGTACACCTACAGTATCCCCTTACTGCTGAATGGACAGGAGATGCTATATGCTGTATCTGCTTGAGAGTTACAGATGAGCGCATGTGTTGGTGACTGGTTAACTGTTGAAATAATTCTGCAGTATTTCATTAAAGGTAGCTCTAATTTAGTTTACTTAGTTACCAAGTTCTCTAAACTATGAGGATTCAATGTTTTTGAGATGTGTATTCCTTTGTCACTGTTTGGAATTAGTTCAAAAGTTAATGATGTAGGGGAGGACAAGTAGTACAGTACTTTCATCTTTGCTTAGCAAAATGGGCAGTAGAAGATTCATTGAAATAATTTATGTGTTTCAGATGACTTAGTAGTTATACCCATGGCCTGAATTCAGAGTATCAAAGCAAATGTATTTGCATTGTTTAATCATTTGAAGTTATCATAGATGAAAAGGTGGGGTTTCTAAGCCTGTTTTTGTTGACTTGATTTCACAAAAGTTTTAATTACTTTAACCCGAATTGTAATATAGCAAAAAAAAAAAAACAACGGTTCAAGCAATGGCTCTGCAAAGTCTGGTGCTCCCTTCTTACATACCACTTAATATTTATTTCAGGTCCCTGAAATATAGATAGGGAATGCAAATAACTCATCCACTGGGTCCTTAACTGTTTAAAACTTGTTGCTTAAAAGTGAATGCTAACCAATAGAAAACAGGTGAATGTGAAAATGAAACTGCCGAAAAGAGTAGGATATAAAAAGGACGTGGTAAAAGTAACATTATTACTAAGGATGAGAATGTTTATGTATTAAATGATATTTAGTATTGCTTAGTTGCAAATGACAGCTATACATAATGTGTTGCAACCCCTAAGGAGCAGCACCAGCACAGTGAGGGAAGTGCTTGTCCCCTTCTACTTGGTACCTGTTAGACTTCATGTAGATCCTGTGTCCAGTTTTGGGCTTTCAGTATGAGAAAGACATGACAAACTGCAGGGAATTCATCAGAGGTCTACCAAGGTGGTTGGGGCTGGAACACTTGCCCTTTGCAGAGAGTCTGAGGTCTTGCTCAGTCTAGAGGTGAGAAGGCTTTGAGAGGGTTCTAACAGCAGCCTGCCTCTACCAATAAGGAGGCCATCAAGGTGATGGGACAGTGGTCCATGGCAGGGGGACAGCAGGCGTACATTGAAATCAATTTTTGTGCTGATAAATGGAGCAGCTTTTCTACCAGAAGAACAGTCAGGAATTGGAAAAGGTTGCCTAGAGAGGTTGCGCTGCTTCCATCCTTAGGGACCTTAAGCACCTTCTTCTGACTTCATAGCTGACACTACTTTGAACAGGATGTTACCATGGAGTTCTTCTGAGTTCTCTTCCTAACCTGAATTTTCTTACAATTCTGTAATCCTGTGTTATTAATAGATAGTGAGTAGGAGATGTTTTGGTTTTGTTGTTGTTCTAAACACTGGGGTTAAGCGGGCAAATACTCATTTCATAGCAACTTATTTTAAAGGGGTTGATGGAGAGAGATGTTTATCTGGCACTATTTTTGTGTAAAACCAAAAGCCTTTACGGAAAGCCTGAGAAGGGTTTGTATCCCTGCTGCTCTTTAGGGCTGAGACTAGCAAAGTTGTGGCTGTCATACTGCCTATAATGCTACTCTGCTTCTAGAAAGATGCTGTATAAAGCTGGATATTTTATTTCCTTTGCTGAAAGGCACTTTTCTTCTGTCATTCTGCCTGGCAGGTCTTACTTCAGTGCAGGAGCTTTTTGCTTCCACAAACTTTCATAGTCTCATAACTTATTCTCTAATGTGACAGTTTACTTCAAGCTAATAGAAATGCTGAGCAGAGTGGTCAGAATTGAGGCTGGTCTTCTAACATATGCCATTGGTTTCTGTAATTTGTATTTTTTTTTACTTGAATGTAAGAGAAAGCTGTAGCAGTGCAGACGGTGTCCGTCATTCAGCTTTGTCAGAACACAGACACTAGGGCAGCTAGATGGAATGGCCATAGTAAGTCTGGAAATCAAAATTGTTGTCATCAGTTTTGCAGCAATTCAGTTCAACTCTAGCCAGCTATTAACTGAAAACACACCAGACTTATTTAGAAGGTCTGAAAATAATTTGTTGGTTTTGCTTTTCTTTCTAGCCGTACTTCGTGCTTGTAAAAAGGAACTACTAGGTACAAGTTTCTGTGAATCAAAGCTGAGAACAAATGGATTTTTCCACCCTGTGGGCCTCTACCCTAATTTCAGAGAACATGTTCTGTGTATGATTAATTGTGTGAATGGAAAGACAAGGTTCTGTCCCTGGAAGTTCTGTGGGACAAGTTTAGATGTAGTAATTTATCTAATGAATGAGATTCGTACTATTGTAACAAATTTGCTTGCTCAGGATGGGTATGTTGACATTCAAGCTTAGTGTTTCTAATTTTTAAACCACATAAAACTGATTTAAAATCGTGTTTCTAAAATAGCTTTAACATTTTGGGTTTTAATGAAAGATGCCTGAATAAAAACATCAAAATAACCAGTAAGTTGTGCCCACAGATATCATCCACTAGATGCCACTCTTCTCAAGCTAGAAGCAGTTGGATATGTCTGCTTAAAGTACGAACAATGTTTTGTCATTACAAAATAAAATCTTCATTTTGGAAGAATACAGTGCTCAGATTGTGAATACAAGTTTCTAAATTAAATTCTTGTACCATTTATTTAAGGACCTGGATAAAATTGCATTGTATTCAAAGGGGTGGAACCTCTTCCAACTGACTTCCAAAGAGTGAGCCAGGCAGTTAGCAGTTCTGAAACATATACCGTTTAATGTCCTCGATTTTATGTATAAAATCTCACTTAACTGAAAATGTTGGTGTCTCATCAGTAAATTGTTTAGTTTTATATCTGTGTGAGAGCTTTTTCAAAGCTTAGTTTCTGAATATAAAAGTATTTTGACAACAAATAAAAATACCCAAGTTCTTCTGACTTCTTTTGGTGTTATTGTGAGTTATCTGGTATGCTTCCTTAGTCTACTCTCATAATAAGTAGTAGTGTGCTTAACAATTGTAATTCATGGTTTTGGAGGGTCATGAATTTGCTAATAAGGTAATGGAGAACATTTAATCATGGAACCCCACATTCAGTTCTGTCAGTGAAGCAGCCACTTAAACTGTTCAGTCATTTCATTATATCAAGTCATACCGGTTTTACCTGTGTTATCTGAATGGATGGATGTTCAGTTGTAGCTGCCTGGCAGCTGGAGCCTCAGTCACTTTGTGACACAATGCTGATGTTTTGGGCTTTTTTTTTTGCTATGTTCTAAAAAAAGTATGTATTTTTAAAGATTTTATGAGCCCTTTTTACAAATAGGTAACTGGCATAATGGAAATAGTTTCAATGAAAGTCTCCCATCCAAATGACCTTGTATTTGTTTTTAAAGAGAGATTATCTGTGAAAAGATTTTCACTTTTGCAGGTATACTTTCCATGCATGTACTGCTTGTATAAGTACTTGCAGTTGAATTGGGCTCTGTTCTTTGCAGTCTCACTTCCATATTGGCTGGATCTTGTAATAGATCTTCTGTTTGTTGTTGGCTTGTTAAATTCCTGTGGTGACACAAGGTCCACTTTGTGATTTCACTGCAAGATAAAGGTGGAAGGGAAGGTGGTCTGAATTACTTCTGCTTAAATGAAAATAATAGTTACATATGATAATTAAAATAGGAGAATGCTTGGCCATTGAGTGGAGCTTCTTGTACGAAGCTCAAAAGAACTTTGCATTCAGTAACTATAAATTTTGCAGTTCCTTCTATATGAGAGGTTGTTTCTTTATATACAGACATGTTATGTCTTTCCCCAGTGGATCACTGATTCTTAGCATCACTAGGAACAGGACACAGGTATTCTGACTTCAAGTATTTCAATTTGACTGCGAAAGTATGCTTCTCTTTTGAAAAATATTTCCAGTGTTACTTGGTATCTGCTCATCATTCAGAGGTGTGCTTGGTTTGCTTTGTGAATACTTGATGCTTGTTATCCCATATTGTTCCTTTTGCAGTGTTATGTCTTCTGTTTTTCTGATAGGTTGATTGAGATAGCAGGAAACAGATTCCCTGCTTATTTTGACTCAGAAGAAAAGCTGTTCTGCATGACCCGTAGCATCCACCTGTATCGAGAGCTGACCTGTGGCAGTGTACTGAAGAGGTATTCTTTACCAGCTTAAAAAAAAAAGACAATTTTTAACTGGATTGTTTATAACAGTATTTGTTTGATATCAAAGTTTTGTGAAGAGTAATTTATATTTTTGGAGGCGTTTTCATGTTGATAACAGCACAGTCTCAAAAGTTGCTATGGAAAGACTGACATTGGCTCTTCTCATTTCATACCTTATGACTAATCCAGTTGATGTTTCCTAATTTTGGATAGACAATTTCTATACGATCTGATCCCTGTAAGCCTTTAAAGGGCTATGACAGGTCTTGTCAAGTCTTGGATTGTGGAGTTATGTTTTCCTGAAATAGGTGTGCTTTGGAGGAGCACAGTTTACTTCCAGGGGACTGGGACCCCTCCAGCAGTGGGAGGGAGGAATCGTTTAACAGTTGTCAGCCTGAATGCTGTTGTTGGCAGTCATGTTATTACCTTATGTTAATTTGTGAACACATTTTGCAATGAGAATGAATTATGTTATATTTTAGCATCATCTTGTGTGTTTTATGTTAGTGGGAGAATTATTCTAAGAGTAACTTCTAGTGCAGCTTTATTAGAGAACAGCTAATAGTGTTCTATCATTGGGTTAGGTTTGGCATACTGTCTTTGGAAACAGATTTGACCCTATGCATGTATAGACACCAAGGATTCTGGTGTTGGCAATGAAATACTGTGAGCAAAAAGGCATACTTTCAGTGTCCACTTAACTTGCTGTCTGCCATTCAGGGGTTGTACTGCATAGTATTGCTAACCAGAGGTTCTTCCAAAACTCTTTCAGAAAGGTCCTGGTTTTGGTTCTGTGGCCTACTGAGCCTCAGAATCTCTTAACATATGCAGAGTGTTAACATGGAGGTTGTGTGTGAGGGGGGAAAAGAGGGGCTGACTTCCAGGTTATTAAAGTAGACCTTTTTAAACAGCATCAGGGTATAAAATGGCTCTATTGTGTAAATAGTATTATCAATGACTGGAGGTTTTTATGTTGGTTTGGTTTTTTTTTGTTTTTTTTTTTTTTCAGGATTACGTCTTTGGAAGAAGAAATTATTTCAAAGAAAGTTAAACTCATAATAGTTGACTCTATTGCTTCAGTTGTCAGAAAGGAATTTGATACAAAACTCCAAGGCAATCTGATAGAGAGAAGCAACTTTTTGGCTAGAGGAGCATCAGTGTTGAAGTATTTGGCGGAGGAGTTCTCAATACCAGTAAGTTCTTCCTTCTTTCTTAAATTTTTGCCTTACAGTATCAATTAATAGAATCTGAGAAGAATGATAATGACAGGAAGATGAAAACCAGAAAAAGGTTCTAGCAGCAATCTTCAAGTAGGTACCAACTAAAAAGTAGTTAGGGAATGGGGGAACAGTAGCTATTCTGCATGGTGGGTTTTTTTTGGTTTTGGTTTTTCCTTTTTATTTAGGTCCTCAAAAAAGGGTTTGCAAGAGTATCCAGCTGTGTTCCAGTGCTTTGTTTTCTTTCATTCTTTCTTTTTTTCCTTAAATCTTACTTTGTTTTGTGCCATTAAATACTGTTCTCCCTGATGGTTCCCTTCTAATGCAATGCTTGCTCTGACTAGTGCTTGCTCTAACTAGTGCTTGCTCTGACTAGGTGAAGATCTTTTTCTGCCTCTGTCTCTTCCACTTAAGTTTGCAGAAAATACAGCAAAAAGTTTATGAGCAGCCTGAATTCCTTTTGTGACTGATAATGTACGCTAATTAATGGTGAAAGGGCAGTAACAGCACAGTAAATTCTTGTCTGTGGACTTGCCTGTAAAATAAAGAGGCAACCACTCCAGGTAGGGACTGGGTAGAACTGATCGAAAAGTGCTTTGAAGATGTAAGCTGCATAAGTATGTGTGTGTGCCTTTACTATATGATCCTCTGTGGATCATATCAACTCAAAAGATGTCATTGAGACTCAACTCTTGGAATTATTTCCTACTATGGGTAATCTACCTACTCATCTCTCAAGTTGAAGAGAGAAGCTTAAGTAAGGCTGGTGAGGCCTTTTACCTCTGGCATTCCTGAGGTCACAGCAGCTATCATACCAGAAGTGTACACATCAGAGATGTGGAACTGGCTGACTTAAGAATAATGGATTTCCTTCTGCTATGTAATTTCTAAGCACTTTTGATGGAGAAGATTAAACCCCCTTGCCTTTAAAGTTCAGGTACAAAAGACAGTGTCCTACGTAATGTACCCCGTAGTACTTACAGGGCTTTAAAAAGACACGAGAGAATTGTTTGTAAGTATGTGCCCTCATAATTTGGGAAAATATTATGTAGCCTTTTGAAAAAAGGAAGAAGCTGTATGGGAAGATACTATTTTTCTATTTCTCTGTTTTCTTCTCCTTTAGACACCCCCTGCTCCCCCCTTCCTCTTCATTAAAATGATGAAGCTGAGCTGGATTGGAGCCTCTGACAGTTCGGGCTGCTGCCCTGCTTAGCCAGAGGGACAATGTTAATATTCACAAAAGTCTTACAGTTAGATGATATGAAGTAGCCTAAGATTGTGATCCTAATTCATTCTACATAAGAAGAAAATAAAGCCTGAACATTTAAAAGTTCCCATCAATTTATCCAATGGAAATTCAACTGTGTTTTAATTTATTGCCATCTCTAACACATTGCTCATGGGTTGGTTCTGGCGTATTTTAAAGATTAGTTAAATTTTACTTCACAAAATAAACTGTAGTAACTCATGCTAGTTAAGAATTCTAGGAGGGCTGTGGCTAGACGTTTGGTTTCTTGCAACGCAAGGTTGTGTATGAGTAACATATAAAACCTAACATGGGGGTGTGTTATGCAATTGCTGGGGCATGCTAGAGGTAAGAGTGCTGTTGCATATATTGCATTAACCTCTGCTACTTAAGGTTGCACAGTATTCAAGGCTCTCATTGTAAATAACTGTTAGAATTATTTCAGATGTTTTTATTTACCTAGAAACTCATAAATATACATTTGGGAGTAAAAGAACATTAATACGGTTGCAGAGTGATCCAGATCACTAGTGAACTGGACACATGAAAAATAATGTAACACTTATTTCATGGCTGAATCAGTGCCACTGGATACTGAGTTGGACAACTAGTGGGACTCAATCTGAGACTGAAAGATTTGGAGTTGATGACTGATATGTGTTGCGCTTGAAGTCAACACTTTTAGACTGTAGCTAAAATGTCTGGTGAAAAACTTAGAAATAGTTGGGCAAGGGAATCAGAAATAATGAGGTCATGTATAATTTACTTAGCTATAACCATTACTGGAGCAGTATGTCTGGTCTTAACAGTCCAGGGAGGCCAGTAGAAAATCAGCTTCCCGAGAATAGCCCTGAAAATAACTGGGAGAAGGGGACAGCAGTCTTAGTAATTAAGATGGAAAGTGCTTACTTTGTTTAGCTTAGCTAGGGAAATGTTAAGGGTTTCTTCATTAGTCAGTATGGACCTGCTTGAGGAAGAGGTATTTGATAAAAGCTGACAAAGGTATACCACAGTTCTGTGGTTGGAAACAGAATTAAGCAAGTTGAGACTTCAAATAAGGGGTGTGTTCTTACTGGACTAATTAACCATTGGAATGCATTAGTAAACATAAATAGCTGCTTGTCACAGAGTATTTTTAAATAGTTGTTTTTCTCAATTCTTAAAAAGGAAATGAGTTCAAATGGCATTAAATTTGGGGAAACCCTGTACTACTATGTAATGCCAGAGTTCAAATGAGTCTGATGCAGTCTCTAGCTCTTTTTAATTGGGTGTTTATGGTGTCAGGATATCACGTTTGATGAGCACAAGTGACTAGCATTCATAGCTTTTACAGAACTCAAAGGAAGTTCCTAAGTACCCCTATACAGTATGAAGTATTCAGGGACAAAAGCTGACCTTAACTATCTCAAAACTTATGGTCATTGTTCAGTAAACTCCCTGCACTTCTATTTTTGGTTTGTGAAATGGGAATAACGGAGCTGTTAGTTGTGAGGATGCTGTGAGGATGGGGTCATTCCTGTTGAGAAAACACTCCTACTGTGTCCATGAACAATGTATAGATGCTCATTGGAAAGTAATGCTTGCCATCCTCTGTGTAAAATATAAATAATTTGAATTTATTTTTATTTTTTAATTTTAATTTTAAATTTTAATATTTTTTAATTTTACTGAATTTAATAATTCAGTAAATGATACCTTAATGCATTTTGAGGTGAGAGAAATTAACTAAACATACTAAATGGAAAGCACCATCTTAGCTACTGAATGAAGTGAGTGTTGTGCGATTTAGATGCCTGCTTCCTGTAATGGGGTTTGAATTTTTTTGTTTGTAAAGTACAAAGAAATAAAGCCTTTTTTTTCTCATGCTTTCACATTAGTAAAAGGTTTTATTTCTCAAGAAGTGAAATATACTGCCTGATTTCCATTTCCGATCTCTTTTTCCACCTAACTTAGCAGTAAGCCCGGTTCCATCCTAGGCTCTTTAAATGATGCCAGGGCAAGAGGCAGCACATGGTTTGGATGGCTTCTTGTCTTTTGATGGGCAACCTGGCAGCTGTACTGATGACTGAACAGTCACTGAAGCTTTTTCCTCCATGGTGCACAATTGTAGCAGTGTCCTTTTTTCCCTTTCACTGCACACAGGGGTGAGCAAAACCAATTTTTTCTGCCAGGTTTTGTTGAAACTAGTCAGTCAGATCTAAAGCTCTACCAAGAAACTGAGAAAAACAGTATGACTAAAAATCAAACAAAAAGCCTTTTATTTTTTAAATCAAGTGAATATGTAAAGCTATATGAAAAGTTATCTATCTGTTTTAAAGCGTTATTTGCATCTGAATGTGTTCTGTTACAGCGTGTGCTGATGCTGTCTTCTGGTTTTGTATTTAAGCAGCAGTAATCAGTCCTGTATGTTCCTGTCTAGCTTCCTGACTTCCTTATCTGCCTAGTATGTATTGAGAGCTAAACAAATTCCAAAATGGAAGATTTCTCAAGAAGAGTTTTTTAATGCCAGTTCCCTTTGAATTGATAATAAATTTGTAGAAAGCTTGGAAAAAATGGGTAGTTGAATTGTTGTTACAGTATGTAACAACAATATGAGATACATGAGACTTCCAGGTGAATTTGTCTGTATCTGGACTGTAAGCTGCTGAAATGCAAACTTTGTTTCTTATACTTTGCCATTAAGAAGTATTTTTTAATGCCAGTGCTACATAAACAGCAATTGAATTATCTTTGCAAGTTGTTTAAAACCAGCATAAGAAAAACTTTTTGCTTCCAAAACTTAGAGAACTGGTGTAATTTTGAAGTTTTCTAAAAAGAGAAATATATGTTATACCACACTGAAACATGTGTTTAATAAGGAGCTAACCTTATCAGCAGAAAACATTTTAGAACTGTTACCAGAAATTTACTAGCCATATTTATGCCAGCTGTGGTTCAAACAGTTTCAAGTGGTGAGAACTCAGCAGAAAGTATGGGTCCTTTTCTGTTGAGCTACTGATATTTCTGTAAAATGTCTTGTCGCTCAAGTTTCAAGCATGTTTGTGTTTGTATGTGAACTTGAATTCCCTTCCCAACTGCTAATAGAAGGATCTTTATACATAATCAAACTGAACTCTTGCAAAAGGCTGAGAATTACCTAATAATGTAATTCTCCTCTCCATCTCCCTTTCTGTCTCCCCATCCATATGAGTGGCTTTGGTGGTTTTTTTTCATGAAGTCTGTGTATTTCTTTAGAGAGCAGCATGAAAGTTAAAGCGGTTTGAGGCTTTGCTTAGAAGACGCAGACTAGTGCTTCTAAACCTGCAGGATTTTATTAAGATAATTCACCAACTTCTTGGAGAAAGCGAGTCCTCCTGTGAACTTGATAGGATGAAAAGATAGTAGTGTCTTATGCTAATCATACTGTGAATGTTACCACAGGAGCATAAATATTTAGAATAATATAGATATTGCAGAAATTGACTTTTTTGTTCTATGTGAATTGAAGAAACATTGACTAGCCCAAACTTTGAGTCGTGGAAAACAGTAGTTGTTTCCTAAATCAGGAAAATTACTTCCAAAACTAACTTCCTTCTTCTAGTAAAGAAAAATTCTTCTCTTCAAGATGTTTCAATCCCCCTGAACCAAAGTTCTATTAGTTTTTGTCCTAATTAAATGATGAACTGAGCAGCATTAGAAAATTTTGCTTGTGCTGGCTGTATGAGAACTTCTGTTTTCTTTTGGTGCAAAG